CCTACGAATACTTGTGGGTAATTCAGAAACAAAGGAACCCTCTCAAGTCTAAGGGACAGCATTTTATTGTTAATAGCAAGTGTGACTATGTCTACGTCTTTGCACATTTGCCACTAATTTTAAAAGAAACATTGAAGACATTGCCTTTAAAAATAATACGGCCGCTTCTTAAAAGTAAATGCTTAATCAAAATTATTACTAGTGAAATCTATACCTGCATTTTTCTATGGCAGGGGTTGCCTAAAATAAGCGTCACACCTAACCACACCCAACCACACCTATAATGAATTCGATAGTTTTTAATAAAACTTCCAAGGATTCCTATGTTGATTAATACAGCGGTCGCCAACCGGTGGTCCGTGAGGTCAGAAAGGCTGGCGACTGGTTTAAAATACACCCAGTTAGTTTACTGGAACACACACCAGCATTGCCAGCTTAGTTTACGAGTGTTAAAATGGTCACACACACACACCTGAAGTCCAGTTTAAAACAGACTATAAAATTAAAGCTCTCCTCTGCATGAATGATGTTTTAGGTCTTCACCATTTACCAAGCAAGGGGAAAAGAGTAAAGAATACACACTAGATCAATCTTCCTCAAACTTGAGTGCACAGGAGCATGCCTTGGGGTCGGGGGTATTGTTACCCCACAGAGGGCTGGGCCCACCTGTGCCGTTGCCAATTCAGCAGAGCAAGTGTGAGGCGTGAGAATTCGCCCTCCCAACAGCCTATGAGATGGAGCTCTTTTTGGTTTTTTTTTTGGAGGGGGCACCTGGATATGAACCATCAGCTGGAGCTCTTCCCGCTGCTCTGGGGACATACTCTGACTGTCACATTAGCGCACCGTTATAGGTTACTTTAAGGGAAGATCAAAATATTCAAATCTGTGGTTAAAAAGAAAGATTTCAAAAGAAAATGCATTGTGTTCTCCAGCTACTAACGTTTCAAAACTCCAAGCAAGTTACCTTGATCTGCATAGAACGTCCCGGTGAGAAGGACTGTGTATGTCAGGCGTCCATTCGGGTGAGACGGCCCTTCCCACCTCAGGCAGGCTCTCCGGGACCCCTCTGTCCTCACCAGGACACTGACTGTCCCTGCAGGGGGAGCTTCGAGAGTTCGATTTTCTACCTGTGAGCATAGAGAGATTTATTTTTGTTTGCAAATAAAATAAGTAGGTGCTTCCCTTTGAGCCTGCATCTTCAAAGACTCTCTTTGGGCTGTGAAGGAAGCGATTTTGACAGTAGCATCTTGTATGAATACCTCATTGTGTCAGCAGGATCAAAGCCTGCCTCGTGTTTTCTTCCTCCTGCTGTTCACGCTTACAGTGTGAGCTCCTGACCAAGGCCGTTGCTTGTGATTTCCGGGGTACGTGGATCAAATCCCACTGTGCTGAGGCCCGTGGCTGTTCACAGGCACAGTCTATTGTCAGGACTGCTTACCAACAACGTTCATGTTATTGCAAAGGAGAAGAAATGCGTAAGATCTGTTTCCACCGACTTCCTGACTTCTGGGCTTGGTCAAAGGCTACAGCAAGTTCTCTCTCTCTCTCTCTCTCTCTCTCTCTCTCTCTCTCTCTCTCTCTCTCTCCATGAAGATGGCATCATGCCCAACACCAAAAAATAAATGTACCTGAGTGACTCCATCCTAAGGTATAATCACAAAAACAGCTAAAAATGTCATTAATACAGTGTTAATGAACCTCTGAAGAGCAAAAGATGAACTGTTTGGATATAAGGACACTGAACTAAAACAGAATCCCTAACTGCCAAGGCCCAGAAAGATTTTAGAAGCTAAATAAATAAAATGACTAAGTGACCAGAGGGAGAGAAAGATGTAAGAAAGTAGAAAGGGGTTTTGAGTATTTTAGCTTCTCTGAATAACTGGCTTTAAAATGGTTAACAACCACAAATCGTAAGTATCACTCATAAGTGTTGGCCTTTTAAGGAATCAGTGAGAATCTTGATCATGGGCTTCTAGCTTCCAGAACTGAGAGAAAATAAATGTCTATTGTTTTTAAACGATTTCTTGAATATGTTGATAATTTTGACCTTATTTTTAAAGTGTAGGCCCATGCCTTACAAGAAGTTGATCAAACATGAAATCCTCAGGCAGGCAAATATTCTCAATTATGAAACCTCCATTTCTAAGGGGGCATATACTGTCCCAATAATGAAAATAAATGTGAAAAAGACAGTGTTAATTTTTAATAATTATGAGGTTACAACATGTCTTATTTTCATCTGAGAAAGGCTATAGAGTTCTCTAGATCTATAACTCCTGCTCTTTTTTTCAGTCTAATAGCTATGTACAAAATGACCAAGAAGCTTGACTGAAAAAAATATCTATTCATCATTTTAATATTTCATAACAATGCAAATGGTTTCATTATGTCTACGTATTTGGTTGAAACTATTGCAAAGAAATGATTTTAAAGAGTTCCAAGTAAAATGAGACTAAAGCAGTTGAAGAATTAAGAGCAATTTCAGATAATTATATTATTATCCTCAAATGTCTGGTTAATTCAAAGTAAATATATTTTTAACATTTCCTTAAATATCTGGATAAATACTCCAGATTTGGCTCTACATTAAATTTGGCAATTATACTATTTTGCACTGACTCAATCTTTACATTTTTTAAAAAATTTTTGATTATCTAACTTGCCTTAAAAAATGTCAAAGAAAAGGAATTCTGGAAGTTTAGCTTGGATTTCACATGGAAACCTCCCATGACACAGACAAAAAACAAAATGTTTGAGCACAAATGGTCAATGAAAACATACATTTTCATCATCTTTTCATTCTTGATGAAACTCTTACCAAATAGTAGAAACCCTTGTATAAATTATATTTAAATTTCCACAGCAACCCTTTACAAGTAGGCATCATTTTCCTTTTGTAATAGCTGAGGAATCAGAAGCTTAGTAGAAGCAGTATGCTTCCCAAGAAGGCATGGGACATCCCAGCAGTAATAAGTGGGCTGATTTCCCATGTAGAATTCTCCCAACTCTAATATATATATTGTAATTAAAATGTAGTGTCTTACATACACATTCATGTAAAAAAATGAATGCGAAAATGCCTGTGTCCATGTATGTCTGGGTGTTTATCTGTACAAGCATGCCAACGCCAGGAAAACAAGCCAGGATTTTAACTATCTGACACAGCAATGACCTATAGTTTCAGACTCGGTCCTTAAGAGGGTCCCCGGGGAACTGAATCCAATGAATGTTCTAAGGCCAGACACACTAATAAAATTCCCAATCTCAGACTCCAACGGCAGCAGTATCTAACATGGGCTAAATGGGGGAAAATAAGCCAAAGCAAACTGGTCCTTCTAGGCACAAATTAATTGTATTTTTTTTTATAGAGGCACCAAGTGTGAATGGTTTCTCTCTAATATAATTCAACAATATAACTGAAAGTAAGGAAAGCAATTTAAAAGTTCTCCGTTGCATTTTTTGTTTTTGTTTTTCATTATTTCATACTTTCATAAAGTCCCAATTACGAGATTTAAGATGATGATGCATATTAGCATGTTAAAATTAGGATCAAACACATTGCAAATTGTTTTTCATATTGGGATTTCCTTAAAAGCAAAATACATTGCATGCATGGAGAAGAACTAAACAAGTGATAAAGCAATCTTTTTTTTCCCCCCGAAATGGCTACCCCACAAATAAGAGGTAATGAACTTGGTCAGGGTAAGGGAAAAATAACTTATTGAGGAGAAACTAAGATGGCGGCAGAGATAAACACCGGGAAATTAATGCCGCGCACAACAATTGATTAATACCTCAGAGAAACAATACGGACTTCATCCAGAACCATAGGAAGCCTGGCTGACTGTAAACTCTACAACTAGAAGGAAGGAAACGCACACTGAGACCCAGAGAAGCTGCAGGAGAGAAGCGCAGAGGTATTTGGTCAGGGTAAGGGAAAAATAACTTATTGAGCTAATACTATATTAAAATGATAAGAGTATGGAATTTGTGTATGTACTTTTATTTTTAAAATATTGTATTTTTCAAATTTGTCCTTTCAAACGTATTTTTTCTTTTATATGAGCAATTTGCAAATTTTGAGGGTCAACCATACCGCGTTCGAGACTGTAGAACATATCTGTCATAGAAAACATTGAATAGTATTTCCCCACATGCATGAAAAAATATTAAATATATAACAGATGAAAAATAAATAGGCAGGTTTTCTAAGAACCAAGAATTATCATTAAGAAACGTTATTAGATGAACCAAAAATTTGACTCTCTCACTATTTATTATTTGATCTCTGCCATAAAAACATTAAAAAATATAAATTATAAACTTTTATTTCAATAAGATGTTATAACATCCAGCTTCATATAAAGAATGCCTGTAAGTGGTGTGTGTGCATGTGTGTGTGTACGTACACACACACACACACACCATCATTACATTTGACTAAATTCTATTGAATGTCATATTGTAATTTGATCATAATAAAGTCTGACTTTTAAGACTGATTCATACATTTCTTTTTTTTAAAATATATTTTATTGATTTTTCACAGAGAGGAAAGGAGAGAGACAGAGAGTCAGAAACATCGATGAGAGAGAAACATCGATCAGCTGCCTCCTGCACGCCCCCCACTGGGGATGTGCCCGCAACCCATGTACATGCCCTTGACCGGAATCGAACCCGGGACCCTTCAGTCCGCAGGCCGACGCTCTATCCACTGAGCCAAACCGGTTTCGGCTGATTCATACATTTCTTAAGTCAATATGGACACAGTAAAGAAGATCATGAACTAAAAAGGCCTGAATCTATAATATCCTACATGATTGTGATATATATCTAGGGCTATTCAGAGTACTCATATGTAATCTCTTCAGGGCATATTATATACTATAATTGGTACACAATATTTTAGAAATCAATTGAAGACTACAGGTTTTAACTTCCTGCCAGCATCTGGTTGGCTTGTTCTAAATAAAGACATTGCTGTTCAAGCCCAGTGAGTA